TATATATATATATATATATATATATATATATATATATATATATATATATATATATATATATATATTGTTACTAGTCCCTTATATCGTTGTTGTCTTTCACCCACCTCTGATATCGCATAAAACTCTGTAAACAACAGGATATTATGGGCATTGATAAACGTGTTCGTTTTCTCCTCATTATCAGTCGCACTCTCGATGAAATAAGGTGATCAGAAACTATGATAAACTTCAAAACCGAGCTGTCTTTGGATCTCAATTCAATTTTTTTTTATATGGATGGATACATGCAATTTCTCTGTTCATTGGAGCTTGATGTCTCTCAAATCATTATGCATGATGGAACTGAACTCTGATGCCAGTTTTCGGATCTAGACTACTACACAGATCCGAGAAAAATACATTGGCCACGAGATTATCGCGTGGGGACTACGAAAAACCTTTTCTATTGTAGTAAGTCACTCCAAGTCCTAAGCAATAGGATGTTACTTGCCATAAGTGAGCAAACAGTAGGTCCTCGGTGCGTTCTCCTCCCTTCTCCGCAGAATACACATTAACATGTGGTTAAAAAATCAGTCAGCGATTGTTAGTTTCCTTCTTCATCCTGTCTGTTTGGTTTACCACTCTTTAGTGATTAGTGACGTATTTTTTTTAACTTTCTCTCGAACCACACACACTGATCTCTTTCTGTGTTTTTCTTCTCAGAATGACTTTGAACGGTTAAGAAAATGTCTGCTACAAATCATGAGTTCGGACAGTGCAAGCCAGTCCAGTTTGGTCTTCTCTATGGCTATCCGGTTTTATTTGTGGAAAGTGTCCGATAAGGTAAGTGAGCCAAATTTGCTCCGTCTGCTTTGTATGCGCACGCTTTAGGCAGAATCTTATGGCTGATTTTCTTACATGTTCGGTTTATCTCATTCTAGGTCGCTCTGTCATCTACCAGGGCTCTTGCTTGATCAAAGGTCTTTTGAATAATCAGCCGACTACTTTTCCAATAGGCGTGGTCTGATCTGGTTCGGTTGAATTTCACCAATATGTGCATCCCGGAGAGCAACATCTCACTTTTCCTCGGGGATAGTGGACCTGAAACTGCAATCCCTTGCTTGCTAGGGACTTTTGAACGAGCTGATCGAGAGATTGTCCATTGTCCTGTTTGTCTATGACAAAGATATGACGGGCGAAGACTTCATGTTTTAGGGATGCACGTAGAAAGGTTACTGAGCGTCTCCATTTCTGCTGCATAGACTTCAAATTCCACGACATGTTCGTAGACAGTAGGAGATAGGCATGTAGTCAAAGTATCCAGTTTGTCCGGTTTAGCATTATCTACTGACTTGAGGCGGCTGAGAACAGTCCGGTACCAATGGTTCCACCACCCGGTAGTCCGCAGTATCTGGTGAGCCAAGTTCAGATTCGAACTGTTCGAGGAGCACAACACGCGATCCATTGCTGTATGTTGCACCAATTGCAATATCAATACAGAATACACGAGAAATCGGACGAGGAGAACCGAAATGTTCAGCTTTATTCAACCTACAATGTACGTGTGGAAATTGGAAAAAGAGAAGAGGAGTGTGAGATAGAAAGGGGATATATACATAAGGTATCATGTCACTCATATATACACTTAGGACTTGCAAAGTGATGTTGCAAAACCGGATGTGGCCGAGTTCCGTTCGGAAACTAGACGATCAGGAATTAGCTGAATTTGACTGCTTCTCGTACTTAGGTTTGCTGTGTGACCAACGACGGTAGCGGATCAAAGGAGATAACCACCCGCCCTCCCAAGGCTCGAGCGGCGTACGCAGAACTTAAATACCTGTGGCGGACACGCGATGTTTCGCTGACGTTGAAAAGTCGCGTATACTGCGCCACTGTACAATCAGTTCTGTTTTACAGATGTGAGACCTTGAATTTGCGGATGGAAGACATCCGTCGCCCAGTGGTTTTCGACAGCCGATGCTTACGTAGTCTGGCCCAAGTGGGATGGAGTGAGCGGGTTAGTAACTTAGAAGTAAGTCGTCGGTTGTTTGGGAATACATCAAACAATGACTCGCCAACTCATCCAATCCAGCTCCATAGGCTCCGTTGGTTAGGACACGTCTTGCTCATGTCCGACGGTCTCCTACCGCAGCGTGCCTTATTCGCAGTGGCTGTTACAGGCTGGAGAAAGCCAGCAGATGACGTGGAGACGAGGCATAAAGAAAATGCACAGAACGATTAGATAGAGTAGGTGTCTCTCGTCTTCCGGGTTGGGGTCCAAAAAACTCCGAAACCACATGGTTAGAAACGCTGAAGGTCATGGCTGCGAACCGACAATAATGGCGATCTTACTGTCACTTCCTATCAGACCAGAATGCTTGAAATAGTATATATGCACAGTTGGACTATGTACTCTGCGTGTGTGTTGACCATAGAGGTTCGCTTTCTTTTCCCGTCCCTAAAAATACGTCCAATTCCTATCCTCCTTACACATTATCACTGACCTTGGTCTCTAGACTATTTTTTTTTCAGTTTTGACTTCCTTCAACCAGTAATACTCTTCCTTGTTTTTACGACAGTTTTGGTTTCCATCTTTCGACTATCCATTTGTTTAATCAATGACTAGCGAGGAACACGGTCAGAATAAAAATACTGTTGCAATTGTACTACATTTTCTCAAAAGACGAGCATTATCACTGTTTAGGATATTCTTGAACTATGGATCATCACCAGGATTGAAGCTTGGAAAACAACCAATGCGTCTTATGCTACCGAATTCTGTGAATAGGGTTTACATACCCTTATGCGAAGTCTTAGTCTGGCTGGCTTTTTGCCTTCTTCCACTGACTGTCTGCCTGTGTAAAACATCGCACATCGGATGAAACCTATCTGATGACGTGAGCTACGTATGCCTCAGCCATCGCAATCAGCATAGGCCGGGTACCCGTTTCTGTGATACTCTGCGCCTAACCTCAGCATTGTTAGTTTGGACTGTTCGAACACCGACAGTCTGTGTTTACCTCCCACCCCGTAGCAGTTATAACTCAGCAATATACAAGAGAACCAGCCGAACAACTGCGGCATGCATTCGATATCTTTTGGGTTCCCCAGTTCTCCATTATCGAACATGACGATTCTTAGTCGATTCTTAAACTTTATCCCTATAGGGTATCGTCAAGAACGACTTTAGATAGGAATCAGTACTAATTTGATCCAATCGATGGGGATCTGTTCGGTGCAGTACATAGTCAAACCATCCCCGAGGTGGACCGCCCCCCCCCCCGGTTGAACGAGCACTTTGTTTCCTTTGAATCTTTTGACACCGACGTTGCGCATCTTCGTCGGTTATTCGGTTCTGCCAGCGGACTTTGATAGTGGATCTCAAATATCCCTGGCCCAGGATCTCACGTTTACGTACATCTTCGACATATAACGGTCAGGGTTTGATTCGATTAAGGTTTCAACCAAAAAGAGACAGCACCGTTTCACTAGTGGCTGCTTTGTACATTTAAAAGTCCAGAACGAACTTTCTCTTTTTCAGTCAGTGTTTGAGCAAGACAGAGTGTCAAGGACTCTGTGTAGACAGATATGCCAGATAGAATAGGTCGGAAGATGGGGACGGGAATCGTATACACATCGGTTGATTTGTAAACGGTAGTTTCTGTGAGACAAAATTTTGTCTGCAGACTTTAAGCATACGTAAACATTTCCGTCACAGATCTGATTTATCGGAACTTGGGAAACACGGCTGATCATTGAAAGACCATGTGTGAACCTTCTACAAACCACAGACCAGTGAGGAGGTATAGGGAAAACACGTTATTGAACAAGAGCTACTGTCACCGATTGAACAGAGTGAACCTGGGGCAATTTTCTTGTCTAAAAGAGAAGATCTTTCAATTTGCGATAAACAACTTGAGTATGTACAGACCAATGAACATTACTTTAAAAAGTAACGCCTTAGTACTTAGTTGTCATCAACTTTCCCTTCATTTGTACACAGTTCGAAGGAGATGGGGAACGGTTTAAACTCAAGGCATTTATCAGGAATAAGCTTAAGACCGGATAATGCAGAATACCAACGAGGTGGGATAAGTTTGTGTTATATGCAGCCAGTTCTGATTGGTAAGATACGGAAACACAAATGGTGATTTCATCAGCGTGCTCGAAATGTCGTACAACGGGAGAATAGATAAGTCACTGATGTAAACCTTAAAAAAATAGAGTTGTAATACAGCACCTTGTGGTACAGTCAGATTATTGGCTGTCACTGTTGCGGCATCGACTTACTCCCAGGTGGCAGACTGTCTGATCTAGAATATGCAGACGACATTGATCTACTAAGTGAAGATCCAGGTAAGTTGCAAGCTTTTCTGGACAATTTGAGTGCTAGTGTGGCCATGTTCGGTATGCGTTTTGCACCTTCAAAGTGTGAAATGCTACTACACGATTGGGTTGATCCAGCGCCCAGTCTCACCCTGACCGGGGAAGTTGTAGAGGAAGTAGACAAGTTTTACTATCTAGCCAGCTATATCTCATCTGGCGGACGCATCACAGATGAAGTGTCGGCGCGGATACAGAAGGCTCGATTGGCATTTGCCAACTTGAGACATTTGTGGCGCCGTCACAACATCCGGTTTTCTCTGAAGGTCGAGTGTATGCTGCAGCAGTTCGACCAATTCTGTTTTACGATGCAGAGACTTGGCCATTACGGGAACAGGATAAAAATAGATTATCGGTGTTCGAACACCGCTGTCTACGTAGCACTGCACGAGTCTGGTCACCGATGGTTAGAGACACTGAGCGATATGGCTAGGTGTCGCAAACAGTGGAGCTCATATATCTACCCATTATTCTTGTAACTTCAGTCTATGAAACTGCGCTATCTTCCGCTTGAATCTGCTCTCAACATTACAATCTTCATTCTGCTGTTTTTCTCTCAATGGGCAACCGGAAGACAGCAACCAAAACCGGCGCACGAAGGTGCACGAAGGTTAATGGTTGTTAGAACTGAACTGAACTGTTGTATGTCTTTTTCCTTGTTTAACACATCGGTATCGTAACGATAAGTATACCGTAATCCATTCAAGAGTAGAAGTAGGGGAATAGGCAAATGATTACAGTGTGTTACGTAAATGGGAAATTGATGAGTAATCAAGAAGGGCACTATGTTCCTTTGGCTTTACGGATTTGCAGGAAAAGGGAATTAGGGATCGAGTATGGAACGGTTTTTCTTGTATGTCAATTGATAACTTGACTTTATTCTATGCAGCAGTGAACCTGCAGCAAACGTACGACAGTGTTTGACCCTAAATTTTATTTTAAATATCGATCTCTATTCTGCCGCACTGCAAATTCCCTAATTGTCAACCCCCCTCCTTGTAGCGTTATTGATTCAAATGGCTAGTTCGTTTTTGATTTGACCGCTAGGAAGCCTGGGTGACCTTAGTTTTCATGAGTTCTCTGTTTCCACCCGGACGTTGATTTGAGCATTCCAACCTTCCCTTTCCCTCGTTCATCTAAATGACCAGTCATGATGAGGCAGTAACCGTTGGATGATGTAATATCTTCTACAGTCGTCTGATCGTGTTAATCTCTAAACGGAGGGCTTTCATAATGCAGCTTATACGATCAAACGCCTGCTGCACGTGGAAGAATTTGTAGGTTAATAGCATACGATCGGTGAAATCGAGGTCTGTTATAAAGGCTCTCATGTAAGTCGGAGTCCGCGGGTTTTGGCAAGGACTTGTAGAATCCAGTCTACTACGCTAAGGGTGACGGATACCACTGATCAGGTCGAAAGTGTTGAACACATCACTGTTTTCTCTGACCGAGGCTTTAGTGTTTCTACAGTATTATGTAAGGTTAGTTTTGACGGAACTTCGGCGAACTCCACTAACTGAGCCATAGGCTCGAAGTAAAATAAGTTTCAACAGGCGGTGAACGGAGACACATCTGCGAAGAAAATCGGAGTTTACTAGCCTTCAATCTAAGAACGCAGCCTCCACTCCGGTGCATGGTGCACTCCTGTTCTTGATGACAAGAAGCTTCCATTTTACCTCACTCCCGATCACGTGGATAATATTTATATCACAGGGTTTGGCTTCTGTCTCCAAGTTCCCAAATTAAACCCTTATTCGAGTTGTTCAGTGCGCAACAGGTGTACCGTACATTCTAACTGTGTTGCTATGTATACAACTAATTTCTAAAGAGCAGTAATAGCCTTGATGAACTGTAATCAATGCAGGGTAATCACAAATAGTTACACCTTCCATGAAAAGCAGACTTGAAAGAACGGACGCGGTGGTAAGTTGTACATGCCAGTTTTTCCAATGTAGATCGATTGGAATGATTCCATAAAATGGAAGAAAATCAAGTTCTTACCTTTGACCGTTTTGCTTAAAGCTATCCATACTTGTTTGTTTCGAATACTCATAGCCGGCCCGTGTGCTAAACAGAAGCATATTATCTCTAGAGATTATCCTCTTTCGCCCGTTCATTTCTTGCATTTTTACTTATTTCATTGACCGGTTGATTCCTTCATCTTTTCTGTTTTCCTAACTAACCCCACCTCATCAACCCCTCGAACCGGAAAGTTTTTCGAGGGTCAGAATGTACACAAAACCGTACAAGTGTTGTTCAATTTACTCTTGAACGGTGAAATTGATTTCGGTGGATTGTGTGCTGGCGAGTTGCTCAGCGATCTATGCACCGAGCCGAACATAATGCCTCTCGTGGCCAGGTAAGTTGTACATATCTTTTGTGGACGAGGTCGAGGACTGAGTAATGACGATTGTTCATTTACAGTAGTTATTACTTTGCTCAGATTACAATTAGAGATGTTTAACTTTACAATTAGAAAGGAAGTGCACGGAAAATGTTTACTCAATGGGGGTTATTGAATTGCAATATTATACATTTATACATATCATACATATCATAATAGTTTCCGTTCTCATAACCACTAACCATGTATTCTCATGCGCTGGTTTTGGTTACTATCCTTCGGTTGCCCATTTAGATAAAGGGGCAGAATGAAGATTGGAGTGTTGAGAGCAGAGTTAAAGTGAAGGTAGAAAATTCGTATAGACTGGCGTTACAAGAATAATAAGTAGATTCATGAGCGCCACGGTTTACGATATCCAGCTATATCGCTCAGTGTCTCTTATCACCGGTAATCATGATCTTGGAGTCCCGAGCCAGGTAGCTAACGGGGAACCTATGTGACTCAGTCTCCTGGTTGGGGATCTTATGTTCTCATGTCAGGTCTTAGTTTGACCGCCCTCGACCTTTTTCCATCCGCTTCCTGCCTCAGCAAGTATGGTTCACCGTGGCAACCTATCTGGTGACATGCGTAACACATGCTCCAACCACCGCAGTCTGTGGAGGTTGGCTACATGTTCCGATGGACGACTACTATTGCCTAACAATCTACGCTTGCCAAACTCAGGTAATGCGGCGTAGAGAGCGATGTTCGCACGTAGACAATCTATTTTTATCCTGTTCCCTGCACGGTAGAGCAGGACTGGCCTAATTGCTACAGATGCACTCGACCCTTGACGACAGTCAGATGTCACAACGGGACCACAGATGGCTCAATTATTCTGTATGTGTGCCGACA